CCTGTACAGGGTTTTCGAGGCTGTAAATCTTTATGGAAGCAGAAAGCCTCATCTTTCTCCCATGGAACAGCTGGTAGTTTCGAACTGCTGACCATGAGATTAGCAGCCCAATTTGTAACCACTATGTTACCATTTGAAAGGAGCTCTGGTAGCGTAGTGGTTACGAATCGGGCTGCGAACCTTAAGGTCAGAGGTTTGAAACTACCAGCCGCTTTGAAACAATAAAAAGGTTTTTTTTTTTTTTCAATACCATGGCTTCAGTCAGGTGCATCTTAGTCCTCAAAATGACATCTTTGCTTTTTTCATACCTTCAGAGCTGTTGTGTTGTTGTTAAGTGCTGTCGAGTAGGTTCCAACTCACAGTGACCCTCTATAGGGTTCCCAAAGAGCAGCTGGTGGATTTGAACCACCACCTTATGATTTCAAATCAACCTTGCAGTCTAGTGGTTATCTTACAGTGCCACACTAGGACCTTCAAAACTAGCAAGGTAGAATGTCCTGCCGCACACCAAGGCCATCCATGATTGGACAGGCAGGTGGGTATGAAAACACAGTTCTGGGCAGGATCCCTCTGGATACCTCCTGCCTAGTCTTCAAGGTATTCCCCAATGGCTCCCCAGTTCTATAACCAGCCTGCTGCCAGGGATGACCCCTACAGCATGACCTTCAGATTCCTACTGGGAAGCCTAGTGGCTACCTGGGGCCACCTGGCCACCAGAAAGCATCTGCTTGTCTGGAAACCATGGTGGGTTTTGTGTACCGTGGAGTCGATTCTAACTTACAGCAACTACAGGTAACAAGGTAGAATGGCCCCAGAAGGGTTTCTAGGCTGTATGAGTAGAGGGTCAGTGAAACAGAGGAAGTCCAAGAGATGGATTCACATAGTAGTTATTCAGCAGCAAAGACCGGATGGTGCAGGACTGAGTGCTTACCCACTGCACCATGAGGAAGGAGCTGTGGGTACACTTGATATTCTTTTACGCCCCTCCCCCAGGGGTGGAGTCTGTTGTCCCGTGCCACTGAGTTGGTACCAACTCATAGCAACACTATGCACAACAGAACGAAACACTGCCCGGTCCTGGGCCAACCTCACTACTGTTGCCACACTTGAGCCCATGGATGCTGCCACTTTGCCAATCCATCTTGCTGGGGATCTTCCTCTTTTTCTCTGACCCTCCACCTTACCAAACATGGTATCCTTCTCCAGTGACTGGTCCCTCCTGACAATTATGTCCAAAGTATGAGAGATGAAGTTTAGCCATCCTGGCCTCCAAGGAGCATTCTGACTGTACTTCTTCCAACACAGATCTGTTGGTTCTTTTGGCAGCCAATGGCACTTTCAATAGTCTCCTCCAACACCATAACTCAAAAGCATCAATTCTTCTACGGTCTTCCTTATTCACTGTCCAACTTTTGCATGCATGTGAGGGGATTGAAAACACCATGGCTTAGGTCAGGCACACCTTAGTCCTCAAGCCGACATCTTTGCTCTTCAACACTTTAAAAAGGTCTTGTGCAGCAGATTTGTCTAATGCAATACGTCATCTGATATCTTGTCTGCTGCTTCCATGAGTGTTGATAGTTGATCCAAGAAAAATGAAGTTTTTGACAACTTCAATCTTCTCTCCGTTGATAAGAATGTTTTTATTGATCCGGTGGTGAGAGGTGGAGTCTAGGAGAGGCCAAAATCATGGAGGGTCAACCATAGGGTCTGGTGACAGCAGAGCAATCCAAACTTCTCCATTTCATCCCCACAGGCTTTATTGATATCTGACCTGTTCAAGCCCCAGCAAGGAGGTCCACCTCCTGCTCTCCAGCTTTTCCTTACTTGTCTTCCATTATGGCTTGTCTCTTATAGATCAAGGCACTTCCTAACACAAGAGATGAAGAGGGTACTTCCAGTAGGGCCTGTACTGCCCAAGGGGCTGGACGTCCTTAGGGGATTCATTCAGGAAGCCCGGCCTCTATGGGGCTGAGTCCCCACTCCAAATCAGCCATTCCAGCAAGGCTGTTTTCATGTTCTATATTAAAATGTTAAGGAGCTCTGGTAGCGTGGCGGTTACAAATTGGGCTACTAATCTCACGGTCAGCAGTTCGAAACTACCAGCTATTCCATGGGAAAAAGATAAGGCTTTCTGCTCCCATAAAGATTTACAGCCTTGGAAATCCTTTGCAGGGTCACTATGAGTCGGGACTGACTCCATGGCACTTAACAACAACATTAAAACATCAAAAAATGGTAACACAGAGTTGTGATTTTTTTTTTTTCTTAAGAATTTATTTTAGATTTTTGTTGGTGGTAACAATGTACAGATTGAGAATGCTGATTAGACTTTTGAGATTATCACCAAATGCGTTGTTATAATTGATCCCAGAGACCTGGTGTTGGGAATGAGGTAGGATTCTGATCAAACAAGCCCATTCATATAATATATCAAGACTTTACAAGTTTGGAAAGAGTCAGAAAGATGAAGAGAATATGGAATGTTGCCTCTATGAACAACTGTCTCCTTAGCCAGGAAACCAAAGAACTGGATGGTGCCCAGCTATCATTACTGAATTTTTTATGGACGATTCTTTGATGAATGAATCCTGAACCAAAAGAGGAAAAATGCAGAACAGAATTTCAAATTCTCATGGAATCCAGATTTTCTGGAACCTGGAGATTGGATGGATCCCTAAAACTATTGCCCTGAGGTAATCATTGAGCCTTAAACCAAAAATATCCCAAGAAGTCTTCTGAAAACCAAACAATAGTTTAGCTTCATGGGCAAAGAATGTCTGCCTTGAGCTTTGAGCTTTTTTAAGAACTATCTATACAGGACCAAAAGAGGTCTGGTAGCATAGTGGCTACGAATCCCACTGCTAGTCTCACAGTTAGCAGTTCAAAACTACCAGCTGTTCCATGGAAGAAAAATAAGACTTTCTGCTCCTGTAAAGATTTACAGCCACGGAGACCCTATACAGGGTCGCTATGAGTTGGAACCGACTCCACGGCACATAACAACAACAACAGCAATACAGGACCAAATGAACAACATTTGGAAAGATCTGAGAGGGAGCCTGGGGGACAATGACTTAATGAGTTAATAGGGGAGGGATGATTTGGAAAATGAGGGAGAGAAGGATTGTTCAATTTGGAAAGTAAGATCCCTGTCACTGACTACATACATGGAGAAGTGGATGGATGGGTTATGTTTTGCTGTGGATATTCTCAACAACAATAAAATAGTCTTTTTTGTGAGGCCAAAGTCACATGGCTCACTTGGCTGACCCCACCCTCACCCCACGAAAGACTCTGCTCTTGACTCAAGTTCTAGGATGAGCGAGTCACAGGGTCACAGGAGAGTGGGTGGTTGACCGTGAAGGTAACCCTGTTTGCACGGGAGTCACAGGAAGTCTTGGCTAACAATTGCTATTGTAATAGCTACAATTTTACCCTGTGTGAGGGTAACCCCATGGCCAGCTTGTTAACTCTACTATCTCACTGGACACTCCCGACAGCCTTAGAGGATGGACACTTGTCACAACGCCACCGTGCAGATGATAACATTATGGTATAGAGAGACCAAGGAACCTGCCCAGGATTATTCAAAACCAGTTGCCTTCATGGTAATTGTGACTCCTAACGGCCCCATGTATGTTAGAATAGACTTGTGCTTCCTAGGGTTCTTAATTGTTGGCTTTTCCCAAGTAGATTGCAAGGCCTCTCTGCCAAGGTACCTCTGGATGGACTCAAACCTCTAACCTTTCAGTTAACAGCCAAACATGTTAGCTGTTTGAACCACCCAGAGACTCCCCAAGGACATATAGTTAATAAGAAATGCTGAGGCAGGGGATGGTTTGTAATAAATTATACTACTGCTGTGAAAAGGTGTTCATCTGGGGGAGAAGGCACCCCTAAAGGTCTCACTATGTCGAGTCCTGGTGTGGCACTGTATGATAAACACTGGACCGCAAGGTCGGTTTGAGCCAAAAGGTCGGTGGTTCAAATTCACCAGCAACTCCTCGGGAACCCTTCACAGGGTCGCTATGAGTCAGAACCCACTGTGTTAACAACAACAACAATAACCCCCATATGTGATCTAGTCAAAAGTCTTACTCCCTGAGGCCCCAGGCTAGGGGTGACCACTACACATGTATGTGACTCAGAGTCCAACGGGGGAGGGGGGGTCCAGTGGGAGTCGCTCCACCAACTTCCACAAGGACATCCAATCAAACATCAACGAAGGTTTTTTACTTTTAAATAGGACCTCTAAGAACCTGCCTTCCTGCCCCCCAAAAACAAAAACGGTTATTCCAGAGCACCCTCCCCCCCCCCCCCCCAGGAAATAAATAGCTGTCAGTCAATGGTTCCCACTCATGGTGATTCCAGGGGTGGGCTGTTCAAGGCTGTGCCCTGTCAGAAGCAGATCACTAGGTCTTTCTTACAGGGCGTCTCTGGGTAGATTCAAACCACAAGCCTTTTCCAGCACTTAACCATTTGCACTTCTACCAGTGATGTAAGGGTAAGATTGAGACCTGAGAAATGGAGTAGGCAGTGAGGCTGAAACAAGGAAACTGAAACAGGGACTGGTGTGGAGGTGGGGTGGGGTAGAAGATGGGGGATGAGGAAGATCTATCAGTTCCTTGTTTACCAGGCGTTCCGTGTCCCCCTCCCCCCAATTTCCGCGAAGCCGGGGTCTCCAGGCCTGGCTGAGAGCAGAGTGGGGGTAAACGTTGGGGCCCGGGATGGGGACACTCGGCCCAGGCGCGCGCCCGAGCCCACACCACCAGAGGCCTGGGCGCTCCTCCGCAGGTCATCATCCCTCTGGCCAGCGCCGTCCGTCCCCGGGCGGGACCAGGGGCGGGGCGGCCCGTGACCGGTCGTGACGCGGCCACGCCCGCTCATATAGCGGCGCCCCGGGGCGCAGGGACAGTGCTTTGCCACCGCCGTCGCCGCCTCCAGACTGCGCTCGCTCCGCTGCTGCCGCCGCGCCGCTGGGTTCTACATCAGCTCCACCAACATGAGGGAGATCGTGCACCTGCAGGCAGGCCAATGCGGCAACCAGATTGGAGCCAAGGTGCGCAGGAGCCGGCGCGAGGGTGCGGGGCCTGGAGTCCCCAGAGCCCCCACCTCCGGGCCTTGGAGAAACGGGGTCCCCAGGAGACCCGCACTCCAGGGAGGGTGGAGGAGGGACTGGGGGTAATGCCAGGCCGAGAACAAAGGGGCCGATGGGGCTAGGGCCAACCATCTTTCCGCCTGCCACAGCTGGGCTCACAGCTGGCTAGCTGTCCCCTCGGCGCGCACAAGGAGACCTCGCCCCTCCCCCAGGCTGCAGCCGGGGAGCGCTGACACTCACCCGGCTCCCCGACGGAGTGGTGATTGGCCTCATCCCACCCCCACCCCCCACCTGGACCTTTTTTGCTGCCACCATGCCTCCTGGCTCTCTGTCACCTCTCTGGGGAAGATCAGGCAGCTGGGAGGTGCATGGGGGTCCTGGGTCCAGAAGACAGAAGTCCTAATCCTTACTGCCAACCTCCCGTTCTAGTTTTGGGAGGTGATCAGCGATGAACATGGCATCGACCCCACAGGCGCCTACCATGGGGACAGTGACCTGCAGCTGGAGAGGATCAACGTATACTACAATGAGGCCACAGGTAGGGCAATGTGTGGGAGGGGGAGGATACCTGTGCTGTGGGGGAGGGGCAAGCAGGAACAGGCGCTTCCAAGGCTCTTGGCTCTGGAGCCCCCTCCACCCCCACGTTCCATCTGCTTGCTTCTCTGCAGGAGGAAATTACGTTCCCAGGGCTGTGTTGGTGGACCTGGAGCCAGGCACCATGGACTCTGTTCGCTCCGGCCCCTTTGGCCAGATCTTCCGACCTGACAACTTTGTTTTCGGTGAGTCGCTGGCAGGGAAGCCCCCTGGTTCCTTTCACTTCCAAAGGTTCAGTGAAACCAGCGGCAGGTTGCCAGTGGTTTGTAAATCTACTGCTAACTGAAAGGTTGGTGGTTCAAACCCAGCCAGTGTCACTGTGGAAGAAAGACTTGACAATTGGCTGCCGTAAGAGTACAGACAAGAAAACCCTCTGGAGAGCTCAGTTCAACTGTGAAACAAATGATGTCACCAAGAGTTGGGATCTGCTGGTGACTACAGAGGTGTCTCTGTTTGTGGAGGGAGGCAGGACAAACAGGACTGTGATGGGAAGCACAGAAGAGGCAATTGTTCTACCTAAGGTTTCAGGAAAGGCCTCCTGGAGGAGGTGACTTTAATTTTCAAGTTTTCTCTCTCTCTTAATTGTGCTGAAAATATACATAACACAACACATACATCCATTCATCAATTCTGCATGTACAAGCAGGAGGGTCTGAGAAAAAGAGGAAGACCCCCAGCAAGATGGATTGGCATACTGGCAGCAGCAATAGACTCAAATATAGCAACAATTGTGAGGTTGGCACAGGACTGGGCAGGGTTTCGTTCTGCTGTGCCTAGGATCACTATGAGTGGGTACTGTCTCGATTGTACCTAGCAACAAAATCAACAAGCTTGTACAAAAAGGCTTCAAAATGTTTGTGGGAAAGTACAATGAAAAGATAATGGAATTTTTCACAAACTCTTTGAAGCCTTTCTAATTTAGCGATATTCATTGATCAGACTCTTCAAATGGTACATTCTCCATATCTTTTTCCACTTATGCCTCCATTAACATAAACTCACTGCCCTCTAAGTGAAACACCTTCTTCCCCATCTTCCTCCCAGCCCAAGGTGTTGTGCAGGAAGAGGAATTAAAACAAGCTACCATCACCACGTTGTTGTTGTTGTTGTTAAGTGCCGTCGAGTCGGTTCCAACCCCATAGCGACCCTGTATAGGGTTTCCAAGGAGCAGCTGGTGAGATTGAACTGCTGACTTTGCAGTTCAAACAGCTTTGCAGTGTGACGCATTAACCCACAGCACCACACCAGGACTCCTTGTTATGTGCCGTGGAGTTGGTTTCAACTCATAGTGACCTTGAACAGGGTTTCCAAGGCTGTAAATCTTTAAGGGAGCAGAAAGCCTCAACTTTCTTCCACGGAACAGCTGGTAGTTTCAAGCTGCTGACCATGAGGTTTGGTTGATGGTTAACCTGTCTATGACTCAAGCCATCAAGTCGATTCTGACTCATAGCGACTCTATACAGGGTTTCCAAGATTGTAAATCTTTATAAGGGCAGACAGCCTCATCTTTCTTGCTCAGAACAGCTGATGGGTTTGAACTGCTGACCTTGCAGTTAGCAGCCCAATGCCTTACCCAGAGCACCACCAGGGCTCCTTTCTGTGCTTTCGCCTCCTTGTAGTAAAACAGAGATTGGAGAAACACCTGCTTTTCAAGAGTGTGAGGAGTAATAGCTAACAGGTGTAAAGAAGTTACTACTGTGTACCATCCAGTTGGTTCCGACTCATACCACCCTGTATAGGGTTTCTGAAGCTGGGAAACTTTATGGAAGCAGAAAGCCTCCTCATTCTCCTACGGAGCGACAGTTTGATTCGAACTGCCAACTTTGTGGTTAGCAGTTCAATTCGTAACCCACTACCCTACCAGAGCTCCTTTAAAAAGTTACTCTGTGTCAAGAAATTGCAACGGCCTTGTTTTATTACCATCGTCCCCAGGTAGGGAGCAGCCTGTGCAAAGGGCGGGACTCCGCCTGGTCAGTTTCAGGAGCAGCAGAGTGAGTAAGGAGGAGAGAGGAAGGGGAGAGGGCTGGGAGGGGATGGGGCTGACTGCCAGCGTTGCAGAACAGGGAAACCTTGGACTCAAAGATGGAACACAATCCTGAACTGATTTGGAACCAAGGAGAGAGATCCTCTGGCTGTTGGGTGAAAGGGGCAAACATGGAAGTAGAAGAAGAATAAACAATAACAACAGTGATCATAGCAATAGTAACAATAATAACATAATTATTATATTATTGCTGTTACTATTTCCATTATTATTAATCTGCAACTACTAGAATTCTCCCAGAGGTCCTGGCGGCACAACAGTTAAACACTCGGCTGCTAACCACAAGGTCAGCGTTTCAAACCTACCATCCACTCCTTGGAAACCCTGTACAGCATCGTTATGACTCAGAACTTACTGACTCTACGGCACTTCAACAACAACTCGCCTAAAGCAGCAGTTGCGTGTGGCAAACAGTTTTAAGCATTCGAGTACTAGCTGAAAAGTTAGTGGTTTGAACTCACCCAGAGGTGCTTCAGCAGATAGGCCTGGCAACAGCTTCCAACACATCACAGCCTTCAGAACCCAATGGAGCAGTTCTACTCTGCACACATGAGGTCACCATGAGCCAGGATCCACTCAAGGGCGGCTGACAATAACACTAACCCACAGGTTGTCAAGCCCATACCCTGGTGCTGCGGAAGAAAGGCCTGACGATGTGCTTTACATAAAGAATTCAGCCAAGAATCCCTTATAGAGCACTTCTGCTTTGTAACAAACATACGGAGTTGCCATGACAGCAACAGATATTTGTGTGTTTGTCTGTCTCTGTTTTGTTTCCCTGGGTGGTGTGTTTGCAATTGAGTGGTGTCACAGTGTGGGCTAAGCATTGGACTGCTAACGTCAAGGGAGAAGAGATGAGGCTGTCTGCTCCTGTAAAGACTGACAGTTTCAGAAAACCTATATAAGTAGCTATGATTCGGAATGGACTTAATGACACTGGGTTACTAAGGTAAAGGCTGGTGGTTCGAACTCCCCCAGCAGCACCAGATAAGAAAGACCTGGTGATCTGCTTCCAAAAATATCAAAGCTCAGGAAACCCAGCGGAGCAGTTCCACTCTGTAACACTAGGGGGGCGCCACGGGTCAGAATTGATTCAGTGGCAATGCTTTTGTTATTTTGCTGGGTTTATTTTTGTTAAGGGCCCTCCAGGTTGGTAGTCAGGGTTAAGGTAAAGGTTGGGCTCTCCCTATAACTGCCCATGTGTCTCCAAATCTCTTCCTTCCTTAGGCCAGTCTGGAGCAGGTAACAACTGGGCCAAAGGCCACTACACAGAGGGCGCGGAGCTGGTGGATGCGGTCCTGGATGTGGTCCGCAAGGAAGCCGAGAGCTGTGACTGTCTGCAGGGCTTCCAGCTGACTCATTCGCTGGGCGGGGGCACGGGCTCGGGCATGGGCACCCTGCTCATTAGCAAGATCCGTGAGGAGTTCCCGGACCGCATCATGAACACCTTCAGCGTGGTGCCCTCACCCAAGGTGTCCGACACAGTGGTGGAGCCCTACAACGCCACCCTCTCCGTGCACCAGCTGGTGGAGAACACAGATGAGACCTACTGCATTGACAATGAAGCCCTCTACGACATCTGCTTCCGCACCCTCAAGCTGACCACACCCACCTACGGGGACCTCAACCACCTGGTGTCGGCCACCATGAGCGGGGTCACCACCTGTCTGCGCTTCCCTGGCCAGCTCAACGCCGACCTGCGCAAGCTGGCCGTCAACATGGTCCCCTTCCCGCGTCTCCACTTCTTCATGCCTGGCTTCGCCCCGCTGACCAGTCGGGGCAGCCAGCAGTACCGGGCCCTGACCGTGCCCGAGCTCACACAGCAGATGTTCGATGCCAAGAACATGATGGCAGCCTGTGACCCGCGCCACGGCCGCTACCTGACCGTGGCCGCCGTCTTCCGAGGCCGCATGTCCATGAAGGAGGTGGACGAGCAGATGCTCAGCGTGCAGAATAAGAACAGCAGCTACTTCGTGGAGTGGATCCCCAACAACGTGAAGACGGCTGTGTGTGACATCCCGCCCCGCGGCCTCAAGATGGCAGCCACCTTCATCGGCAACAGCACGGCCATCCAGGAGCTGTTCAAACGCATCTCGGAGCAGTTCACCGCCATGTTCCGGCGCAAGGCCTTCCTGCACTGGTACACGGGCGAAGGCATGGATGAGATGGAGTTCACCGAGGCCGAGAGCAACATGAATGACCTGGTGTCCGAGTACCAGCAGTACCAGGACGCCACGGCCGAGGAGGGCGAGTTCGATGAGGAGGCTGAGGAAGAGGAGGTGGCCTAGACCAACATGCCCTTTGACCTCTAGAGGTCAATTTCACCTGACCCCTGCACACCCTGCTTCAACTCCTGTCCCAACCTATCTGATTCCAAGAACCCAGTGGCCCTGTGAACATCGCCTCATCCTGATGCTGACGTACCTTTGACCCCCCAAGATCCTCATTCACCTCTGACCCCTGAGCCCCACTTTATCTCCAACTCTCATGAGCTCTTGCAACATTGACACCCCATGAGCCATGCTATGCTTTACCTTACCTCAGACCTACTCCTTCACCTCTGACCCCCGTAAGTTCCAGCTCACCTTGTAGACCTATAAGCCCTCATTTACTTTCAGCCACACCCTGTGAGCCTTACTTCACCTCTGACCCCATGAACCCCTCTGATCCTGTCCTTGGCTCTGGTCTCTACCATGCTCTCTGACCTCACACCCCTCAGTTCCTGCCCATCTTTGCCTCAGGTGGGGCCCTCTGTTGCTGGGCGGGAGGTGGGGGAAAGATCTGCAGAAAAGGGGAAGGGGCATGCCCCCCACTGTTCCCAGCCCCTCTCCCTCAATAAATCAATCCGCTGTTGTCCTGTCATGTCTCTGTGGAATTAATGATTCTCCATAGCATAGTGGTTACGAATCAGACTGTGAACTGCAAGGTCAGCAGTTCGAAACTACCAGCTGCTCCGCGGGAGAAAGATGAGGCTTTCTGC